CAGGAGAGCAGGGCTGGTGGGAGAGTGGGGGTGTGGGGCTGGGAGACCGGGGTGGGCATGGGGGTGTGAGGGCATGGGGCCGGGAGAGCAGGGTGGGCATGGGGGCGTGGGGCCGGGAGAGCGGGCGGGGCTGGTGGTGCACCTCTTCCCCAGAGGCCAGGCCCTGAGCACACGCAGAAGAGATCCTCAAACACGGACCGGGCTGGGCCACACAGAGGACCCCGTGGGGAGGCTGGGAACAGAGGCTCCCTCCCTGCCCAGACTGCCTGGAGCCCAGGAGGCAGGACGCCTGAGGGGCAGGGCATCCAGGCTGCCGGCTGACCACCCCCTCCCTGTTTGGAAGGCAACTTGGAAGAGCTCCCCCCACCGAGGGCCCTGAAGGTGGAGAGAGTGGAGGAGAGTGGCCTGTCCATCTCCTGGCAGCCTCCCGGAGGCCCAGAAACCAGGCAGGTCCTGGATGGCTACGCGGTCACCTATGTCCCCACCGACGGCTCCTGGCGGCGCACGGACTTCGTGGACAGAAGCCGCTCCTCGCACCAGCTCCAGGCTCTGGCGGCCGGCGGGGCCCACAACAACTCGGGGTTGGACAAAAGCCGCTCCTCGCACCAGCTCCAGGCTCTGGCGGCCGGCGGGGCCTACAACATCTCGGTCTTCTCCGTCAAGCGCAACGCCCACAAGAACGACATCAGCAGGCCGGCGGTGCTGCTGGCCCACACCCGTGAGTGCCGCCTGGCCGCCCGGTGCCCTGCCCAGAGCGCAGCCGGAGGCACCGGGTCGTACCTGCTCGTAGCAAGGCTGCGGTCGGGGCTGGGCTGGAGGACTGGAGGCTGAGCCCGAGCTGAGCGGCCTTCCCAGGGGCCTCACGCACGGGTGGGTGTGCTGACTGGAGACTGAGCAAGGAGACGTGGGTGGGGGTGAGGGACCGGGGCTGGGGACGGGGTCTCTGCGAGGTGCCTGTGGGGCCCAATGAGGCCTGGGCAAAGGCAGGCGTGGAGGAGTGGGCCTGGGGGCTCGGGGACAGCTCGCAGGGCAGGTCTCTGGCAGCACGTGACCAACCCAGGCAGGAACCCACATGCCGCCTGCCCTGCAGCGTGTCGGCCGGGGGGGGGAGATGAAACGCAGGCCAGTGGGAAGGCAGGAGCGTGGGGATGGCGGGGACGGGGGTCCTCCTGGAGCTGCAGCCAGGGAGCCCAGACGTGGGCTGCCCTGGAAGTCGTGATCAGACTCATTCCCAGGGAAGAGGGTGCCAACACACCAATGGCAGGGGCTCCAGGGAGGACGGGGCCGAGGGGGAGCAGCAGAGCCTGGGAACTGGACGACGGGTGTCCAGGGTAGCGGTCTGGCCTGGGAGAGGACCGCAGGCCACTGAGGAGGCGGGGGGGCCCTCCTTGGAGCCCTCCAGACAGAGCAGGGGTGAGGATGGAGGGCAGCAGGGAGAAGGTTGCTGGGCAGGTGAGCAGAAGGTGGGGAGCAGGGGTGAGGGTGGGGGGCAGCAGGGAGGAGGCTGCTGTGCAGGTGAGCAGGAGGCGGGGCCCAGAGAACTCGGGGGCTCCTGCTCACTCATCTGCCACCTGGGATGTCTCCAGACAGAGCAGGGGTGAGGATGGAGGGCAGCAGGGAGAAGGTTGCTGTGCAGGTGAGCAGGAGGCGGGGCCCAGAGAACTCGGGGGCTCCTGCTCACTCATCTGCCACCTGGGATGTGCCCAGTGCAGGCACAGAATCCCTGGAACACGCTATGGGCAGGTGAGGGCAGGCCCTGTTGGGATCTGAGTGTCAGCCCTGCAGCCGACTCCTGGTGTGGGGGGTGGGAGTGAGGTGTGAACACCGCATCTGCCTGGGGCGGTCCCAAGTCCCCAGCTGAAAAGAGGGGACGGAGCCTGGACGGGCTGCAGAGCTGGCTGGCGGCCAGGGGTCTAGGGTGAGGCCTGCATGCAGCAGGCATGGCCAGGCCGGCTGCGGGTATGCAGGGGCAGCGTGATGGCCCTGGCAGGGAGGCAGCGCCCCGGCTACCAAGGACGGAGGCCCAAGAAGGGACAGGCTGAGGAACGGGGCGGCTAAGCCCCTGGGGCCTGGGGACGTTCAGGCTGACGCCCCTCTGAGCTCACACAGCAGGCTTGCCGAGCATCTGCAGCAAGTGGCAATGATGGGGCCTCCCACCGGCCCGCCCTCCAGAGCATCTGGAAGACAGGGCCTCTCTCGGACGCAGGGGGCTCCCCCAGGAGATGAGGGTGGGCAAGAGGGACCATAGCAAGGACCCTTGTGCTCTGAGGAGACTGGACGGTGAGGAGCCGAGCCCACCGTAGTGTCACAGGGACCCTGCGCCTCTCTGCTGCTGGCCCAGGTCCACCCAGATGCTCACTGCTAGCAAGCCCAAAACAGGGCTCCAGTGCGAAGGAGAGGGGAGACCCGGCTCAGCCCTGGGGGACCCCCAGTCCCACAAGGCACCATCACCTCTAAACTGGGACCCAGAACCAGCCTGTCTTGGGCACATCCCCTGGCCTGGAGTGGTGCCCACGGTTGGCACCTCCGCAGCCACCACCTCTGGTGGCCAGAGCCCAGGACATCTGTGCCCTGCCCAAGTCCCTGGCCAGCAGCTTGCCAAGGCAGGCCAGCCTCCTGTCTGTGACCCCTGGCCCCCGAGCCATGCCCGCTGGGTACAGGAGGTGCCAGCACCTGCTCAGCAAGGCCTTTGCCCCTAGGACCCCGCCCTCTCGAGAGCCTCGAGGTCACCAACGTGACGGCCAGCACCATCTCGGTGCGCTGGGCTCTGCACGGAGTCCACCATGCCGCCGTCAGCAGGCTGCGCGTATACATCCGCCACCCCGAGGCCCCCAGGAGCCAGCCCACCGACGTGGACAGAAGCGTGGACAGGTTCACTTTTGGGTAAGGCGTCACCCAAAACTCAGGGTGGGGCACGGTGCAGTGGGCATGCAGGCCTCAGCCGTGAGCGCTGTTCCTGGGCACCGCCACTCCTCGGGAGGCCAGTCTTGGCCACTGGGCCTCATCCCAGGCGACGGCGAGGACGAGTTGCAAGGGCGTTGCGTGACTCCCGGGAACACGTGTGCTCGCCCGGGAAGACGCGCTCCAGAGGGTGTGGTCCTGCTGCCGCCCTCCGTTCTCCATTTCTGCCCGTCAGGGTCCGGGGCACACATGCACATGCGCCCCTCATGCAGCTTAAGCTGGCAGATGGGGCCCGAGCCGTAACAGCCGTGCGGGGTCTGGCTCCCGATAGGGACATGCGGCACTGTGGGCTGGACCAAGGTGCTCGGAAGTGCGGAACACGGGCCAGTACCCGTACCGAGAACGAGAGAGTGATGTGTTCTGGGAGCGGCGGGGCAGGGACAGCCCGGAGCTCTTCCACAGGTCTCACAATGGACCGCTGGGGGCTGCTCACCCACAGGAGAGACCCTCGGTTCCTGCCAGAGCAGGCGGGTGGGAGGAGACAAGGTGGCTGGGCGGCAGGCCCTGCTGCAGGAGCTGGGGTGGGTGGCGTCCCAGGTTGCTCGGGCCACAGAGCCTCCACGGACGCGCCTCCCTCGGGTGACACCGGTGCCCCGACAGGTGGCGGTCTGTGCCCATGCCCCAGGACAGCTTCTGGGCCTCTCTCGGCCAGCAGGGTGGGTCTTCCCCAGGAGGTGGGTGGGTGGCAGGAACTCGGCAGTGGCCCTTGAGCTCCTATCCAGCCTCACACGGGGCCTGCTCTCAGCACCGAGGTGTCTACCTGCCACATGCCAGCTCCCCGGGGCTGTCTTCGCAGGTGGTACTCCCTCCATCCAGACAGCTGTCCTCCACGGACGAGGCGGTGCTCTTTCAGCACCGAGGTTTCCTTCTGGGTTCCCCGGGTCCCCGCCTCTTTGGGCATGTCCATTTCGGACACCGACTCCCAGCCCCATTGCACCTCCTCCCAGCTGTGCCGTGTCACCAGCGTCTGCTGGCACCCCGGTGAGTGTGCTGTGTCTTCCCGGCTTGGCACATCTTCTGCCATTCTCACTGGAAACTGGCAGCTGGATTGGACGAGGAGGGCCTGGAATCAGGCTCTCGCCACCTGTTTGCTGCTGTCCGGTTGTTGCAGCGTCACTGGGCTGAGGCTTGGCTTTACGGTTTTTCGGTCCTTCTGGCCCTGTCTTCCCCTAAGCATGCGCGGCGACTTTTCTGACGTCCCCATATATGCAGTTGTCTTCGAACAGCCTAGTTTTGGAACGTCTGACTTTCCAAAGGAAAACAGAACAATGAAGGCAGGAAGAGGGTTCCGGACCTCTAAGCTCCTGGGGTGGGCGAGCTGAGGCAGCAGTGCTCAGGACACAGACTCGGGCTGCCCCGGCCCTGTGGGCTGCAGGCCACTCGAGAAACATGCACGCCTGCCTGGGGGTGGCGCGGCCGAGCCGCTGCTGCTGTGCTCAATCCGAGGTCTGGGGGCCCCGACCGCACGCACCACCCAGCCTCCTCTGGGAGCGGCCGGTCTCAGCAGGGGCGGGCAAAAAAGGGCCGGCCCGCCGCCAGGGGCAGCGATGGCGCCCCAGCCAGTGCCGCTGTCCAGCGGGGGCTCCTGGTGCTTCCTTCAGCACTCTGGACCCTCCTCGGTTTTGTCTTGTAAGTTTTGCGCTCTCTTATGTCTTAACCACTTCCCAGCGGTGACTTGTGGTGGGGGCCGGGTGGGCACCAGGGGACTGCATCAGGGTCCCCGAGATGGCCTCAGGCCTCTGGTTCTCCAGAACCCTCTGGGCTCACACGCAGTCACGCTCCAAGCCGAAACTCACTGCAGAGAAAGGACATAGAGGTGGGCCGAGGGATGAGGTCAAGCTTCCAAAGAGCTCCCCCATGGAGCTGCACAGGCACATCCTACCCAGCACAGGCCGAGACACGTGTGAAGTGCTGCTGCCAGGGAAGCCCACTGGAGACTCGGCTGGGGCTTGCACGGGGCTGGTCACACGGCCCTGTCTGCTGCTGCAAGTGGAGCCCGACTCCAGGAGTGGCTGCTCGGTGTGAACCGCGTGGTCTGCACACAGTCCTCAGTGAACCCTCGTACCCGCTAGGGGGTGGAAGCCCCTGCAATCCCAGTTCCTAGACACCAGCCCAGGGCCCACCCTGCACGCTGGCCTTTCCACGGAGACCGCGCAGCCGGGCGACCCAGCATAGGACCCTTCTCAGCCCCTCACCACAGACTACGCAGTGGAGGGGCTTCCCACCCAGGGACACATGAGGCTGAGACTGCAGACCTGCCCCTCATGGGCCAGCCAGTGACATGTGGTTAGGGCTGCTGGCTCCCCACGGCCTGCTGCAGGGTTGGTCCGGACCCAGAGGCTCGAGAAACTCGCTGTGCGTGTGCGTGTGTCCCAAACCCTGAGAGGCTGAGGTGAGGGGCAGAGGTTGCAGTGTGCCATCCCCCCAGGGGTGCCTCCTTGCCTTCCCTCTCTCATACACGAACATGTACCCTGGCAACAAGAAAAAGAACCTGCTCTTCGAGGCTAGGGCTCATGGGGGGCTTGGACCAGCAGCAGGACGGCATGTGTGCTGGCTCCTCCGGACTGGGGACCGCAGCTAGGCTGCAGAGCTGGCCCAGGCCCTCAAGACGTCCCTACCCTCCTGACCTCCTGCAGGGCTCTGCTACCGGGGAGAAGGTACACCATCCAGGTGACCACCCTCAGTGGGCTTGAGGACGAGGAGCACCCCACAGAAAGCCTGGCCACCACCCCCTTGCACGTGTGGACCCGTGAGTAGGGCAGCGTGGCCGGCTCATGCTAGCTCCGTCCCAGCTTCGGTCCCCTTCCAGCATTGCCCAGGCCTCTCCAGAGCATCCCTGGGACTAGAAACCTGGCCCTGGGCCTCCACAGATATCTCCCACTCAGACTGCCAAGGAGCCTCCGGGCTGGGCTGGGCTGGGCTGGTTCTCCTGCAGAGCACAGCTATCCATGGCCCCAAGCCCCAGAGGCTCCTGGGACACCCTCAGTGCAGCCCCTCTGCTGAGCAGCGACCAGACACCTATAGCAGCAGTGGGCCAAGGTCCCGGGTGCCAGGACCGGCGGGCCACGGGGCTGCCCCAGCCAGCTAAGCTCTCTGCTGCCGTCCAGCCTGGCCGGGAAGCAAGCACGGGCACTTGGCACAGGGAGATGGGCAGACGGGGCGAGGGAGCTGGCAGGCACCTCTGGAGGACTGAGCCTGAGCAGGACGCTGCTGGGCGGACGGGGTGGGGTGATTCTATGCCGCCTCAGGTCCCAGGGCTGCCTGTCCAGCCAAACCAGCCGTGGTCCACCAGGGTGCGGCCCAGGGAAGCCTGTGCGGTAGCGAATCCGCCCCAGGGCCTGAGCCTGCCCCTGCCTTTCTGGCCCACTCCCCGTCCACATCCGGAGACCCGTCCAGCTAGGCCAGGGGCCCAGAGCACCACCTGCTCCGGCTCGAGCCGGGCAGCGAGGGTGGATGGGTGAGCCATGAGGGCAGAGAGGCATTCTGGGGCAGGCCGAGGTGCAGCTCCTGCCCGGGCCACTCCTCGGGGCACCGGAGTCTGTGTGGCTACGCTGGCCCAAATGAGGCTCCTGTCAGAGGGCCCTCTGGCCCCTTCATCTGCCTCCCTGCTGGCGCATCCCCCAGGGCCCCTGCCTCCAGCAAACCTGACTGCCTCCCGAGTCACGGCCAACTCCGCCCACGTGGTCTGGGACGCGCCCGGGCCCGCTGCCTCCCTGGAGGCATATGTCATCAATGTGACCACTGGCCAGAGCACGAGGAGCCGCTACATCCCCCGCGGGCAGCTTGCGGCCCACACGGTGCGTGACCTGCTGCCCGGGCGGCAGTACCAGCTCTCGGTGACGGCAGTGCGGGGCACGGAGCACGGGCAGCTGCACAGCGAGCCCGCCCACCTGGACATTACCACCGGTGAGTGCCATGCGGGGGCCCGGGCACCTCCCCTGGGGTGGCCACGCTGCCCAGCGGCAGGGCGTGAGCTGGCCGGGGCATCTGTGGGTGCAGCAGGGGTTTTCCCCGGGAAGGGCAGCTGGGCGACAAGGGCACGTAGCCTGGAGGAGCACTGAGCCATGTGGCACACACCGGGCAGACCCAGCCAGGCTCGGCAGTGAGCGTGGTGCATCCTGAGAGTGGGTGCCCAGGGCAGCACAGGAGGCCCCGGGGCTGGCCGTGGGCAGGGAGAGGGACCTGGTGTGGGTGGTGGCCAAAGGGCAGGAACAGCTCAGATGTGCAGGCACAGATGGCCATGCTGAGGCTGTGGTCTCTGCCCTGTGCAGGCGGCCTGAGTCCCGTCTCACTCACAGCTCACAGTGCCGGGGGCAGGGGGCAACAGGGAGAAAGGGCAGCAAGGTGGCCGCCCAGGGGGCAGGCCCCCAGGAGGACAGGGGCTCCCCGAGGCAGTATGGGCTCCAGCCCTGAGCTCCTCCCCTCCCTTTCCTCCTGCCGGATACCATGGGGCTGGCCCAGGGCAGGAGCGCATGCTGAGAGCCCTGTTCTGCCACCACCCAGGGGGGCTCCAGACAGTCCTGTTGGAGAGGACAGGGATGGGACAGAGAGGAGGGGTGCCGGCCTGGGTGCTGAAGGGTGCTGTCAGGTGACAGTGCCTGCCTCCAGGGTGTGTGCAGGGAGGGCTGTGCTGAGCCCTCAGTAAGGCTGCTGGACAGGGCATGTCTGGACAGCTCAGCCTGAGCCCAGCCCCAGCGCCAGCCCCGCCTCGCAGCTGGAGGACCGGGACGGGCCCACCCCTGGAGCCACAAGTGACCACAACAACACTCACCTGGCCTCGTCCCTTCTCCAGGCACGTGGGAGGGCAGGGCAGAGGGCAGCCAGCCGGTCCCTTCCTCCCCACTCCCTGCTCACAGCCCACAGGGACAGTGGTGACAGACGCTGGCACCAAGGAGGACGTCACCCACGGGTGCTCAGAAACAGACGGCCACCAGCGCGCATACCAGAGCTGCACCTGCTCAGCGACGGCACCCCCGAGGCTCCGCCCCAGGCCCCCCGGCAGAGCC